CTCCCGCCTCGGGAATCGAGAACGGGCCTCGGTCAGATGATGGTAATTGCAGTTCTCATACACACTCCCTTTTGTAATGCTGCGTCAACCGCACAGCTTCAGCCAGCCCAAACTTGTGTCTAATTAATTTGAATTGTCAATTTGCATAATTGAATATTCACACATTCTGCACCTTTTGCAAACTGACATGGGCTTGTGTTTGCAGACGTATACTTGTCAGGCCATTGACTCCTTTGTGGACAGCAGCAAACGTTTGTACGTGACAGGAGTTGGAATGGGACCGTCGCACTCACAAGCCAGAAGTATTCTATATCCACGAGCCGTGTTTGCACAAACGTCACAACAAGCTCCACAATGCACCGCGGCACTGCTGCAGTTGACTTTTTAGGTGATTATTTCTTCTTTAATGAATACAAGCAGAATACATTCATGCTGCTCTATCCTATGGACCCTCTTGCGAGCTGTCCGGTTTCTCTAACAAACCCTGAAATCGCAGGAGTAGTAATCATACAAGGGAAACTCAGAAGCATGATTAGGACTGTCATGATAATCGTGTTATCAACTTACTGTATGATATAATAGACATGACCTGGATGACGTTTACATTATCGACTTGATCGCTATAACTTTACATTAACGACTTCTTGTATGATATATTGACATGAATGCTAATTTGTACGTTATCCACTTACGGTACGACATAGAGATATGACTTTAATCAATTTAACATTATCAGCTTATTGTATGATATATGGATGTGATTTGACTTTGATCATTTTTACGTTAACTTATACGATCTATTGGCATGAGCTCAATCATTTTTACATTGCCATCTTATCGTACAGTATATGGATATGACCTTTTTGTTTTGACATGCGTGTTTGTTTACATGAGAATGTCACTAACATGTTAGACAGAATAAACAGCAGGGTTTTCTCTACTATTATAAGACATGCATATTGCGCAGATATTGTGCGTTTTTGTAAACAGAGCCTATTTTATTTATTGTTTTGTTTGGCAGGTTTTGCTTTATTTAGAACATTTTAGTTTGTTTTTCACATTTTTTCACATTCCAATTACAATGTCTGAACTTTAAGAATGAAGATGTCATACTCTTTGAAAGGGTGTACTTGTGCATTACTATAATATAATAATATTATATAGTGGCATAAAGTGATCTTCAAATGACAATAATATTGTTTATCGCTATTATTTCTGGGACAACATCTTATTCAAGTTATCGTGACAGGCCTTTGCTGCCCTTTAACAACTGAAATGGAATAAAATGTATTAAACTGCTGGTACACAACTTGTGACAAGTAAAAATCATTAGTTGTGGAACCCTAACTGGACACAGGTTACAGTGCATCTGCTTCAGTGAGTCATAGCCAAAAGAATATTATCTATTGGTCCAGGAGCACATGCATGGATCCCTTCAGCTACCTGCAAACATCTGCGGTGAGCCAACCTGGATAAGACCCAACACTAGGCAGCAGGACCTGCACCGGCCTGCCGGCGGCTTCACACACTGAGTGATAGCACACACCTGCTATTAAACACACAATATTAATGCCATGTGCAGAGAGAGCTTTAGTGACGAGTTGGCTTGCTGGCTGGCTGACTGATATCTGATTGGTTGGCTGGCTGGCCAGCTGGGCAAACCTGAGGATGTGGTTATTCCATCTGGAGTGAAAGTACAGCTGCCATCCAAGAGCCCGCTGTTTGTTGTTCTACCTAACACTCATTGTAATTAGGCAGATTCGGGGCTGCCAATAGCATACACACATGCTTCAACACACGTACACACACACATTCCACACCAAGCTGCACGCTTGTCAGATTTGCTCATCAGGTCGATCAGGTATACAGGGAAGTAGAGGTAGAAGAAGGAACGAGACAGAAGCTGTAGAAAAGCCCCTTCAGAAGGGTCACGGATTGTCACCGCATTTTGGAGCTTGTTTAGCAACCGAAACATGATCAAAAAAAAGCTACGAGGCGCGACTTTCTGCTGAGCTCAGAATTCCATTGAACGAGACATCATCACTAAATATCCCTGTTTACGGAATGCGCCACCTGGCACCGATGTTCACAACGCTTCTCTGCACCGAACCAGACTTCAAAAGCAACCGAGAACAAAAGCAGGAGAGAGTGCCGCGTCCCCAGATGTGAGGAATGTCCCCGATTCCACAGTGCTAATGGATTCCCTGCGCGTTAAAAAAAAGAGGACAAAATACATCTGATCCTGTTTCATAAGCACTATTCATAAATTCACTCGGAAATCCCCCCCCCCCCCCAGGCTAAGTGATTACATTTATTGAAATCTCTTGAATTAATTGCAGCTCATCTATGGCAGAGCATCTATGGAGCATCTATGGAGACATACAAGGCGCATAGCCTTGCATGTCTCCCCATCATTAATTAAAATTTGTCTTTGGAGGTCAATTAAATTTCCTTTAACTATTCATTAGCCACAATACAGGGCGCCACAAAAATCTATTAAATGAGGAGATCATCGTGTGTGTCGTAAGAGGGGGGTTGGGGCGGGTTAATCTTTCTCTTTGCTTTCCTCCTGGGCAGAAAGTGGGCTTAAGCTCTCTCCGTGTCGAGGTGGCGAGCCGAGCCGTGGCGAGCCGAGGCGGGAGCTCTTTACCGGTCTCCGTGGCGTGTTTGGCCAAGGCTGACTGGCTGCCAAACAGCCAGAGACAGAGCGGGGATGAATCAGCACTGACAAGGTGAAGCCAGCTTCGTGTTCACCGGCTGACAGCTCAGGTGCTCAGAGAGATGGAGACACAACAGATTACATTTAGGCCACTGCAGAGAGAGAGAGAGAGAGAGAGAGAGAAAGAGGGGGAGATAATGCAAGAGAGGGAAGGAGGAGTCCAAAAAAATGGCTTTTGGACTCTGGAAACTTTTTCTCAGAGATAAACGAGAAAGTTGGACTCGGGTTTGTGTGGGTGTTAATGACCGTTGTCAATGTGTGGTGGTGGCGATTTGGAGAACAGGATGGGGGTGGGATGGTTTAGGGACCAGTGAGAGAAACATTTTTGCTGTTGTTATTTGTGAAAATGTCTAAAAAAGAACACATTTTTACCTGAGAGAGCGCTACTGGCTGTGTGAACAATCGAAGGCAGAGTAGGGCGAGTCTTCGCGGGAATGCGGGTTGGGCAAAAAAATCCATCAAAAGTACCGTAAATAACAGGTTGCGCAATTGTCCATGGCTGTGAAAGAGGTCACTTGGCATGCGGATGAGAGGGCACTTCAACATTTTCCAATAAAACTCTCTTGCACACTTGTTGCCAGTGTGCCAATGGTGTCATGCTTCCCTAAGGTTGCTGAAGAGCATCAAAGTCTGCTTATTGGAAGAGGTAATGGGATAGGGATGCATGGGTCCAACTTCTCCTCTCACCATCCCGATTCCGACACTTACATTCGCCCAAGAACCCGATCCGAAGCCATCGCTATCATCTTCCTATATTTACAACTGTTGTACCTCACTGCAAGGAACTCGTTTTAAAAGACCTTTTGGTCGGCAAGGACAAACCATGTGTTGGGTCATGTAGAATTTGTACACCTCAAGTACAAAGTCCTGCTTGGTGAACCTGACCTGCCAGATGGTTTGTTGAACAGAACCATCTCAGAAGCCGTTTGGAAAAAGGCAAGCGCTTTCACAAAATGCTTGGCAGGTGATTGGATGAACCATCTGTCAATGACCATCTATCGCTGGCTCACTTCTGCCATATCAGCGGACTACCAGCGGAGCCAGTTGGTCATTCAGACTGCCAGTAGCTGCTCGCAGGACGCCGGTTATTGTTATAGAACAAAAAGTTGTTTTTTTTGCGTAAAAATCCAGTTGCCATGCCAGTTAACTGGGGACAAATTTGAACAGTCTCCTACCTCAGACAAAGCCATATCTTTTTTCTTAAAATTACATTTTGGGTAATAATTTCCAGTGGTAGTATAGTTCAGATATGGACAGGAAGTGTAGGATGAAAAAGAGGATGATAAACAAAAGGTCCCTGGCCAGATTCCAACCAGGGATGTTGTGGTTAAGCAGACTTAAAGCCAATGCTGATTGTTCGTACAAGACTCGCCTCAATGCGAGTGATGTCCCCACTTCGGACATTCGGGTAAGTGGAGTCCTTGAGGGAGCGGCAGGGGAGCCCTCGCAAAAAGAGTAATTGTTCAACCTAATTTTCATTTCAAGTAAAAACGAGAAAAAAAGTATGACTATTGTAATCACTGGTTTCCCAGCTAATTCTCTCAGGGTAAACAGACTTTTTTATATGACAAACTCCTCCAACAGGAAGTCCAAGGACCACAATCTAATCAGATCAGATCCCCGAAATAGCCCCATGGGACACGACATGGGACTATTGTTTAGATATGTTTAGAATGTACCACAGGGGGTGAACTGCAATGCGTCCCACTGATAAACCGTGTACTAACTGCTGGCATGTAAACATAAGCTAATCATCACTAATGCAACTGTGCACTTTTGGAAGCAGCCCATCTGTGAAGGCTATGCAATTAGCTGCCATCATATGGCACAGGACGGAACAGAATTCTGATGCATGCTGTCCTTGGTGCACCACTGTACAGGACAAAATAACAAACAATATGCATGACTAATCCGCAGTCAGGCTGCTGGCTTTTCTTCTGTAAAGCCCCTCGGATAAAGTCTGGGCTTTTTTCTTGAACCAGAACACAACGATTGTGCGTCGCTGAATAGGTGAACTGTTTTGTATTTTATCTCCAGCCGAGTGTTCGTTTGGACAAATGGGCTCACATTGTGTGCCAAAACAAGCAGCGGCCAGGAGCATCGATCAGGGACATGCCGACATATACAGCGGCTAAGAAACAATGTGCGACCGGCACTGGAGCAGTGTAGTGCAACATCTAAGAGACGCCACCGGCAGCGGGAAAAAAAGGAAAGTTAACAAAGCCCCCGGCGTCTGTCGAGCCGACAGAGAATAGCACGTGCATGTTTGCATTGTCCTTACCTTGCGTCCGGCTGTGTTCAGCTTTATTGGTTGGAGGAAGGGGTCAAAGATCATGTGGCTGGTCTCGATGTTAACTGGTGACTGCCTCTTCCCCATCGAGCACAGGTTCCAGGCCGAGTTCACCAGCCCCCAGAACGACGGCACTGCAACACAAAAGGCGGAGAGAGTGGAGTGTGAGGGTCTGTTCAAAAGGGCGAGCATCTGCAGCCAGGAGATACGAGAGGTCCCCCAGAGTGACGAGCAGAGTTTGCCCTTCGGCATTTTTTTTTCCAAATACCAGAGCTCGCCAGACTCACAGTGGGAGAAATGCAATTAGCAGGGCTCGACTGATGTGGGCTTCTGATAGTGGGTAGAAGTACTCTGGGATTGGACCTGCAGATTGAACATTTATTTTAATGGTTGGTTTTTTATTCTAAAATGTACAAGCTTGTCTCACAGGATCTTTTCCTTGGTGTATCATAATGATCATCATTGTACCTCTTTTTTTTCTGATAACGGTATTTATTCTTTTGAAACTATTAATAGAATTGAAACATGGGCGGGCAGAATACCTGGTTATGGTCTGTTTTAGCACACGTTCCTATACATGCTGCATTATACCATGGCTCAAACCTCGTGCATAATTAATACATGCAGTCACACATGCTTGGTATATGCAGCACATAAAGTAATTCAGGATTTGTGACAAAAACATGCAGCTCTTTATCAATCCTGTGGAAGGATTCGGTCACCTTGGACACTTGCTAGCACCAATTCCTCACCTATATTTAGGAAATACACCGCCATTTAGGGTCGCCTGCCACAAAAAGCTTGATTTGTTACAGTCAGATGGCTGAGAGGACTGTGCTATATCTTTCAACTGTCTTTCATGCTGTTAGGTGCAGAAGTCGTCTTTACGAATAGATGTTATGTTGTATGGAGGGTTGGCAAAAGAAGTCATGCGTTTTATATGGAGAACAAAACTCAGTAGCCTACAATAGTTCAACCAGACCGACAACTGAAAGAGACAAAGATCCCTCTGAGCAATAGGTCGATAAGAATAGAAGAACTCAACGGTCATTGGGAGAAGAAACTGGAAGTTTAGCATCAGTGTGTGCAGATTTAACTAGAAATCAAGTGCACAATAATGCCCAAGACAAGCTGGAACATTAACAGGTGTGTCGCTGAAGCAAAGCCATTCCTAAAATATCACAACAGAAATAGAAGGTTACCACTGATGGAATTGGATCAGAGGATATCAGCTGAACATACTATCAACTGACAAATCACAGTTTAAACCTATTCATTGGCTGCAGAGGGCCCCAGAAAAAAACGTCAACCTGAAATATGTAGAGCCCAAATGCAAGCACCGTTGTGGTTCACCTTTGCTTTTACGGACTACAAAACAATTTAGATTTGAAGGGTAGGCCTATATGAGAGGGAATGGTTTTGACATTTGAATTCCTTTTCTTTTGGGGCCAAAATTATTTCAAATGTAAATAACACATTTGGTGTCGGAATTATTCTGTTTTTTAATTTGCATCCCTGTTCAAATGGTTATTAATGAAAGGAGAGAAGAAAAACATTGGTGCAAAAGGTGACTTTTCAACAGTAAATGTCATTTCATTTTTAACATAGGCTCCGACGTCATAATGATAACCATCCATCTCGAACAGCAGCATGACTCGCCAGTCCGATCGTACCGCAGCACGGCAACGACGGGGTGAGAAGCACGAAGCTCAGTGGGCGAAAGTGATTTGCGGCGACTCATGGCAATTCGGTCAAAAAGCTCCCTCTGCATAGAGGAAGCATTACAGAAGTGAGAGAAGCAGGAATCGGGCCTATAATCAGCTCACACATGCCCTGTAAGACTGAGAGGACAAGACGGCACAGTGAGAGAATGTCAGCACTGTGGGCGTGATAGGCATCTCCGCCAGTCTTTTTCTCTTATGTAAGACTTGGCCACCGGGACCAAGAACTCCATTCCCTTCAACAAAGGTGGGAGGCAGCGGCTTATCGCCGTTGACTCCCGCTATAATATCTGATGCAGCCCAAAGCGGCATTTTGTACCCCCCCCCCCCCCATTTAGGAACACATTATTACACGGAGATGAGTCACTGGGATTGTGCTCCGCCGAGATTTTTTTACCAGATTTTTTTTTTTATATGCAACTTCGCGATGAATCAGTGCGAAGCGGACAAGACGGCATGGATTCGAAGCTGAGCCCTCGGCAAGTCAACGAGTCCTACATTGTGTTTGCTCACGGACTTGCTCTGCAGATAAAGTGCTGCCTCACTGTTAAGTTCAGAGCATGGAGTCAAGAGAAGCCTTCGTCACCCTTTGCGCCGTGAGCGTGGTGGCAGCTGACAGGTGTGAGCAGATTTCACGGTGTTTACCACAATTAAGAGAAGAAGCATTTGGCTAAAGTCACTGAGCAAACACAAGGGATTGAGCTGTATGGAAACAGCACAATCATGGCTAGAAGACTAGAAGACTCAACAATGTCTTTTGTGCAGAATAACACAGTTACGGTAAACCAGACAACAAAACGCAAGTTGAATTTCATTAGGAATATGCAAACATTGATATCCATAATTATTTTAAGTGCTCACAAGTTTTACCAATGTTGGAAAAATAAGGTCACATGCTGTATATATTGAGCTATTCGTCATTGAAGCCACTCAAAGCGATACATAATAGACAAAATGTTGAACTTTTAAATGTCATGGAGGAAAATGTGGCATAATAGAAAATCCTTTAGATACATATTTTTTTAATCCAGTAGAAGGTCACAAAGGTCCAAGTTGTGCTCAGCATACCTTGGTACAGTAAGTGAGCGTCTGTGGTAACAGCTGAGGCCTTGCATTGCACATAAAGACTTTTGAAGACCTCGAGGCTTACCGATTATTTATCCAGACTCACATCTAGTAGAATGAAGGCCTTGATACAAAAACGAAAATTATCTCATTTATATGATCACTGCAACCGCAGTTATGTTTCCAATCGCTTCAGAAATGACCATCCAGACTTAATCCTTCACTGACTGAAAGATGATAAATGGGTCCACTATAGATACAGAGTGGTGGCTGTGCCACAGACACAAGTTATGGCATACTGTAGGACCTTAGTCACACAGCACTGAGTCACACTGCAATAAAAAAAAAAGCACTTTGCTTGGTGATGCTGCTGGAGGTGGGAGCGTTCCGTGAGCTGTCAATGCTTTGACTTCATCACAACTGAAAATAAATACGTGTTGACCTGCACCACACCGGTGTGAAATAGTAAACACTGCAGCTTTACGAGAAATGCCTTTAAACTTGACCTCAGGCACAATGTTGTACATTATACTGACTTTTTGAGTCTTTACACGCCAGAAGGGCCAGTTGCTGATTTCACTTGTGTCAGCAGAGTGTGGCGGCAGGTTGCGTTTGTCTGCCAGTCCAGCAGAAGCAGCAGCGGCGGCGACATGGGACTAAATGTGTGGTCGCCTCACAAGAATCTTTCTCCATTTCTGCCATTCGTACGGGAGCTTGACGAACTCTGGCAAGCTGTTCCCTTTGGAGCTCCGATGCTCACGAAAGTCCCCCGGAGCACTGAAGTGCAATGTTTGACCGAGATGCAAGTCTCCGGTGACCCTGGTGAGCTCTGCATAACATATCTGCTGCATGCCAGAGCTACTTTGTAAAGTGGAAAGGACAAATATCTTAAGGGTTTTCTCCAGAGTTTGCTGTCTCTGCATTCTGTCTTATCACATTTGCCTCCATGCAAGTCACAGTTCCACACGCTTGGAGAGCGTATGATGAGGATGGAAGTTAGACGCGCCAGATGCCCGTCCACTAACCCTGATGTCCGCACCCTCTCTTAACGATACGTGTAGGACAAGCTATTTCCTGCATTGGCACTGGACAGGAGGTGCGGAATCATCAAATCTAAGCACAATTCCAAGAAACTGAATCACATTTTCATAATGTGTTTATTTGAGGTAAAAATGTATCTTAACAACTTTAGGTTTGGTTGTAGTGGAGGTTTGAAGTCAATGCTGGCACATTTCACACCACTATATCAACCAAACTCATTTTAACCCAATCCACGATCTTTTCCTTAGCCCTACCAAGTAGTTTTGTTGCCTGCACCTTTCATTTCCAGAACCTTTTGTTGCTTGAACCTTGCTTGAATGCAAGTTTTAAGACACTACGCATCGGCTTCACACGGCAGAACAGGTGGTTGCCGCCTGATTGGAACCAATATGTTTTTTTGGGGGGGGTGGGGGTCTTAGTTTAAACAGTCATGGGTATCAGTATGCCACGCCACAAGGAAACAGTTGGTGATGGTCACGCCTCTTGCTGTAAAATTAAACGGCACAAAACAATAAGCTAGTTTCTAAATATTACATAAGTTGTAAAAACAGCAAACAAAACTAGAGTCCGCAATCTACAGCATCATGGGAGAAGCGGGCAACCTAAGATTAACCAAGAACACATCGTAGCGTTCCCATTCACTGCCGCCGCTATCGGTATTGGGCCATTTAGCCACAACACTGTTGTTTAACAGTTTGTCGTCTTTATAATCCTTTTTCTAATTCATATTTTTCTAATAATTATTCTTTATGACACACTAGCCTTTTAGCACAGCCTCAAGAGGATTCTACCTTGCATTCCATTGCACATATTGTATGAGCATATGAAAAATACAACCTGTGAATCTCAACTCTTCAATCATACGTGCACTACTGATTGGCTATAAATTGTATTATATATGACCTGTCCATCACCATTGACGATACCATGGTGACGCCAACTCGGACTGCGAGGAAGCTGGGTGTGACCCTGGATGACCAACTGTCATTCTCAGCATACATTGTATTGGTTACACGCTCCTGCAGATTCCTGCTCTACAACATCAGGAGGATTCTCCCCTTCCTCACTGACGAGACGGTGCTAATCCAGGCTCTTATCATCTCCCGCCTGGACTACTGCAACTCACTACTTGCTGGAGCCCCGGCCATCAGACCTCTGGAGCTTGTCCAGAAAACTGCAGCTCGTCTGGTGTTCAATCGCCCCAAGTTCTCCCACAACTTCCCTTCTCTGTTCTCTACACTGGCTCCCTGTAGGAGCTCGCATCCAGTTTAAGACTCTGGTGCTAGCCTACAGGGCAGTGAAAGGAA